AACCCGAATTGATTGAATCCATCAACCTATGGCGCACCATCAATATTCCATGTTTGTTTCAGTTCAAACGCTATTTTTATCCAAGACAAAACAACATCGCCAACATCTGCTTATGAGTGTGTTACAACCAAAACCTGATTCTCCTAAATTTTTTTGACATGTATGGGTTATTGACCAAGCTTGTTCGGTCAAGATGGCTGGATATTGTCCAAGATCTTGTTTTTTTGCGTGTTTATGGACCTCGAATCCGTCTCGTTCCATAAACACGCAAAAAAAGGACGAGTCCAATATAATATCCAGCCATCTTGACCGAACAAGCTTGGTCAATAAAGGATTTATTATATTGCTTTCGAGGAAATTTTTCTTGCGGGACACGGCGAGTAGTCCCGAGCGGGCAAGATAGCTCCATCACAGCGCAGGATTGGATTCATCTTGCCCGCTCACGGGGCTGGCCATATAATAAAGGTATATATGGCACTTTCAGTCGGCAAACGACAGTACTTCTTGGAGAGCACAACGTACGGGCAAAGCTTTATACTGCTTTGCGCTACATCAGCGTAGCATTAAAATTGGAGCTGAGTGTTCAATAAAAACATCTGTTCATACAGCATACAACGAAAGCCAATATGTTCTTTAATATTATTACACGCAAGGAGCTAAACATTTCGTCGATTACTAACTTTAACTAGCTCTCTACGGTCTGCAGTCAAATCGTATTTAGAGTGATACCATTTAGTCTTTAAACGTGACTTCCCTTTCTTTACTGGATCAGTATGAGTGGCGAAAGTTCTAATACCATTTTTACCAGAAAAATCGCCATCCTCTATCAAGCACCGCCCTTCAATAAGCGCCACACCTGAACGACAGCACAGCGCGTTATATACGAAACACTTGTGAGACTGCATCTAAAGCTGACGCTTATTTAAATGAGACGTCCGCGTCCCTTGGCAACTTGGTGTCTCTCACAATTAAACACTTTTTTAGCCTCTATTTCATTAAAAACCTCGCACTAGCTTCTGACTGAATAGCGTAAATTTTAAATTTCTAACTAGGCGAAGTTATTCAAAAGGCAATTGTTCTTTATTTCTTTTCCAGATTACCAAGAAAAGCAAAAAATACTTCACTTTCCTGAGGGAAACAACAGTTTTTCCCCCAAAATAGATATGGAGCAAAAGACAGTACAAGAATGACAACTATCTAAGAATTCCTTCTTTCTTTCTTTTTGGCGACAGAACTTTCTTCCTCGAAAATGACTACAAATACCAGTGAGAACTTCACCAATTCCAGTTCTGCATCACTTACGGCATCGCCGCAGTGCACATATGACCCCGATTCACCTACTGAGCAAGTTTTCAAGACTACTACTTCTCTACATGTTTTCACTTCACTTCACTTCATTGCGTACTTCATCATCATGTTCGGTTCACTGATGCGTAACGTGTTGGTCATATGCGTCGTTATTATAAACAGGCAAATGCGAACTGTCACAAATTATCTCATAGTAAATATGGCCGTGGCAGACCTTCTGATTACAGCCTTTAGCATGCCAGTGACCATTAAACTGCTTGTGACAGGACACATGGATTGGTCAAACGGGGTATTCTCTGACATATTGTGCAAGATCATCCCATTTACCCAATACCTCTCGATAGCAAGCTCAGTTTTGACTTTGACAGCAATCGCTTTTGACCGATTTTTGGCTGTCGTGTTTCCTTTAAAGCGATACATGACTTTTCAGGTATCATACGGTATAATGGTAGTTGTATGGATCGTGAGCATCGCTGTTACTTCTCCATTTCTTTACGCTCAGAAAGTCATCATGATTAAGGGAGAATGGTTCTGCATGGAGATTTGGACTCCGGCTTTCACAGAAGAGGCATCTAAACACTTGACCATTGTTATCTTCGTCGTTTTTTACCTAGTTCCACTATTAACTATGTCACTACTGTATAGCTTTATCGTTCTCAAACTTTGGGTGAGAAAAGTTCCGGGTAATCAAACCGCCGAAAATCAACGACGCTCTGATAAATCGAAGAAGAAAGTTCTTATTATGCTGATGACAGTGGTGATTCTTTTTGCACTGTGTTGGCTGCCCGTGTACATTAGCCAGTTCATTTATTTCTTCGATAAAGAGAACTTTCCTTGCGGTCCTCCGGCGGTCCTCAGTTTCATGGGTTACTTTCTGGGTCATGCAAACAGCGCAATAAATCCCACTATATATGCGATATTTAATTCTAACTTTCGCAAAGGATTCAGAGACATTTTGCTGTGTCGTTGTCGTAGGAACAGGGTAGCTCCGCAGACCAATGTAGGGTCAGGAATTGGCCGAGATGGTACTTTTGGCGGGGTTGCCTTGACGCGCGTGCGTCCTCGCGCGCCCTCGAATTTACAATAGAGCTAAAGAGGGAAAAGAAACCAAGAGTAATGTATTATCGTTCCATAAAACGCAACATTTCAAAACTTTACACTGAAGGTTGTACGTTTTATTACACATCTCACAATATCATTAGATTGACTCGCTGTGAAATAAGTCCTTTAAAAAGCCTTTGCTGGCAGGTGTTATATTTTCCAACAGAAAACAATTAGCAATTTATAACAAGCTTGAAAAGATTGTATTGCACGCCCGATTTGTGTAAATCGCAACTGTACGACATGTAAACACAGTGTATTGAAAGCCGTGTCAAGCATTAGCAGTAAGTGATGAAAATGTTTTCAAATCCTCGCACGAAACCCAACGCCTCAGGCTAGGCGATCCATTTAAATGTTTATCTACCCCCTTCAGCCGTAAAAAAGTAATTGATTTTGAATTTCCGTTACTCCATGTTGTATACTCTGTAAACTTGTCAGTATTAAAAACGTAATAAAGTTTATCATCTTTATCGAAATAGAAAAGCTTATCCGATTTCTGACTACTATCTATCTAGGTAAATGCGAACTCTTTTGAGTAGAAGAGTCGACATTGTTCGATTTGATAACGTCCAGAAAACAACAAATAAATATTTTTTTTTTACACAACAGCTCTTCATTGTGTCGTGACGAACTTAAGTAAACACTGAAGTTACATTGTCTAAAATCGAAACTGTAATATCCTTTTCCTAGTTTTAAGATTGTCAAAGCAATCACATCTTTTGATCGATGATCAGTACATTTTTTACTTTGTATCGCTAACTGACCTCACGATTAAGTAATATAATGGCATGAATTGAAGAGAGTCGCTTTTACATTTTTAATTTTCTGTACGTGAAAAACGAAAACTTTCTTCAATTTCGCATTATAAAACATCCATTTACGATGAGGATATAGAGTTTAATTATCCATTTTTTTCACACGAGGTCTGGTGAACTAGAATAGACATTGTCAGTTAAATCTGAGTCTATATTTTTACCTTTCGTTTTTAAAGGCTCGCTTTATAAGACTAAGAATTGAACATGACAGCCTCAAACTCAAAATCAAAAGGCATCAATTTTAATTGAACACTGCCTTGCATGTCAGTTTCGTAGCACAAAACTGCCAACAAATCTAAGAGTTGAATGACGATTTTACCCAGACAAAAGTTTCCAATATAAAATACTTGTCAAAAATGTTTCAGGCACTGTCAGTCCAAAAATTGCTTTCATCTTCTCTTGTTATTTCTTCTGTCAATAGTTATTTTGAGCACACATATATATCACCCTGCTGTGAGAGATTGTTCAATACTTGTTGACTTTATTAGTTCACATGCATATTGTATGAGGTTCCATGTTTGGTTCTATTTCTCGCCACAGGCGTTATGAAACAAGCGGATGTACATTTTCCATTGTGCAAAGAACGAACTGTAAATAAAGGCATTTCTCTTAGATCTAATGAGTATACATTGCAAGAAAACAATCTTACTTCCTTTTTGATTGTTAGTCATTTCTTTTAGATTTAATGAGTATATATTGCAAGAAAACAATCTTATTTCGTTTTTGATTGTTAGTGAATAAAGAAGTATTAAAAGGTTCTTTGGATCCTTTTTCTCAGTTACAGGCTGCTGTTGTCAGCAGGATGCGTAAAAAAAAGCTGAAAAAGACATGCTGAAAGAAAAGAAGGGACTAGACTAGCAAACAGTTAGACAAGTACTCAAGCAGTGGAGCACTACTCAAGATAAAGCAATTAAACTATTATTTCGTAGTTTACTCGGACAGACATTGTTCAAACTGCATGTTTTATTATGTTTAATTTTCGCTCGGTTAGGAAAATTTGGCATGAGTTGTTCAGTAGTTGTTGTCCCTAGAAAATAAACACCTCTACAGAGTTTTTGCCAAAACAAATTTACTATCACAACACCAAAATCGTTGATTCACGTGCATCTCGGCAGGCTGCCTTCTCAAAATTCACTGCCTAATAGAAATGGCTTTCTTCGTCCGGTGCTGAACAAAAACACTACGGAGAACAAAATAACAGCTTCCGTTTTATGTTTAAGTGTGCCTGCAGGGCAGTGAGGTATTTCCTGAAGTGGGACACGTACAGTTTTTAATTTGCTGCTGAATAAGATCGGAAATGTCATACTAAAAAGATTTGACGTACTGCCGACTATAAACACTCTTAACACGACCAGTACTGTCGTAAATCATTATTTAAAAGGAGCCTATAACGTCTTTTTCATACTTTATATTGTGAAGACCACAGCAAAGGAGCACGTCTCTAGTTTTCGATCGTTCTTGGATATCGCGCAGCATGTCCAAGATGTGATAAAATTTGCAAATTAAGGCTGCAAGAAATAGCCTTATGATATTTATTTCAAAAAGCTGATTCATGTAACTTTCCAAAGTCAGTTAAACACAAATCTGATGAAAATAAACATTATGAACCGAGGTTCTTGACTCAAGCATTTGACTTTACATGCCTTCGATGCACATGTACATTTGCCCCCACAAAGGGCTACTAGGAGAAGTCGATGTTCACAAAATTGTTTCGGAGGTGGGATGGGGGAGAGTTTATTCCAACGTCCAACTATAGCCAGAGGGCCGAGAGGGGGCTTCGAAAGGGTGAATATATAGGACTAACCGTGAGAGCTTTCACTATAGTTTCTGGAAATAATACAAAACGCAAATGCCGCCGTTGAAGGAACATGGTTGTGATCCCATCGGTCCAGCATTGTGAACATGTAAGTACAATCCTTCGGCAGCGCTAGCGATTCACTATATGATTGTTACAACCAGTACTAACCTTTGCATTGAGAGAAACCGCTGTCAAACGAGACCGTACTCGCAATCACTCGGTGCACTCTGGGAAGGAGATTTTGATTGTATTCAAATTCGATTCAAATATTCAAAGTGAGAAGGCGCGGAGTTTTTAAACGAAGTAAGTTAGCTACAGTTATTTGGTCGTGCTTTTGACCAAACATGTTGCTCATGTCTAGTTTACGGTAAATTGGAGGAACTCAAGCTTTGATATCTATGTTTAACCAGGTGACTAGCTGCTGATGATTGTCGCAGGGTCTGTCTGACTTGCATTACAACTCTAGCTTGAAAAGCCGGCCCACGTTGCGCGTAGTATTTCCAGTTCAAGGTAAGCTCACAAAATGTTTTTAATTGTGCTCATTATGGTTATAAACAAGTGAAAACTGGTTATGGGCGTTATAAGCAATGCTTCATTCCATTGAAAATTATGTTCACACGATTAATTATTGACCAGTAAGAGTTGTTGAATTAGGCCCTTCGGTGTACGTGAGCGAAATGCAAACTTTAGTCAGTGAAGTATCCATCACACCTCAATGGAAAATAGATATTTGTTTTGTCGGTTCTTGATTTTTTTTTTTTCCAAAGTCCCTTGTTTTCTTGCAGCATTCCATTGCTGTTGCTCGCATTTGGGTGGATTTGCAAAACATTCAATTCTTTCCTGTCTTGAGTGAGTTTGTTGTCCATTGCACACTGATTGTTAAATTGTTTGATATTGCTGTGTACTAGTTTACTTAACAGGTAGTGGATGCTGCCTGTAAGTTAGCATGTATAGAGCAGTATGTTGCGGAGCTGAATAATTTTTTTTGTGCATAAGATACAGCAATAAAGAGGGGTGAGGCGTTGTGTGACACCTAGTCACAAAAGTGATAGGTGAAGGTGAATGAAGAGGGTTAGCAGTTAAGAAAGGGAATTATATAGCCCCCAAAAAATGGAATACCGAAATCGTGTTTTGTTGTCTTGTTCTTGTTCTGAAAAAGAATTGAAAAAATTACCAAGCCAACAGGGTAAGGCAAAACAAACGTATAACCCATAGGAAGAGAATACAGTAAGATTTCACTGGTTACTCTACTGAGAACGAGCTATGCAGCAAAAAGAGAAACAAATGTAATCTACATACATTGCTTACTGGTGAGTCCTAAGTTTGTTCACTGCTTCTAATAATCAACTACATGCATCAAGGCAGGTTAAATTTGGCTACTTGAATATCTGATTTAATGTATGGCATGTCACTGAGATGTTTAATCAGAATTCTTCTCAAGTTAAAGGTGTCATCACAAGTGTGTACTGTTAACAATTACTTTTTTGCCAATGTTTGGAAGGGGTGGTGGGCCGGCCGGGGAT